GGAAACTGCCATCTGGAGGTCGATCTCTGTCCCACAGATGGGCAGGACTCAAGGAAGCCTGGTCTAGTGTTAAACAGGGGCGAACCTGGAAACCATTATTCTCAGCAAACTGACTCAAGAACAGAAAATCAAACACCGCATATTCTCACTCATAGGTGGGTGTTGAACAATAGGAACACATGGACACAGGGAGGGGAGCATCACACACTGAGGTGATGAGGGGAACTAGGGGAGGGACAGCAGGGGGTGGGGAGTTGGGGAGGGATAACATGGGGAGAAATGTCAGCTATAGGTGTGGGGAGGAAGGCAGCAAACCACATTGCCATGTATGTACCTATGCAACAATCCTGCATGTTCTTCACATGTACCCCAAAACCTAAAACGCAATAAAATATTTAATAAATAAATAAATAAAGGCTACTGGTGAACCACGTTCAGTTCTCATTGTCTCCAGTGTTCTTGAAATTGGTTGTCCTCCCTGATCTCAGTTTTATCATTTTGCCACATTTAAACAATAATTTTTAACTTTGGAGACAGAAAAGGAGAAAAATATTAACCTGAGAGATACAAATCAACCCTTGTGATTTGCAATAGAAAACAAACTTTCTGTGCAATAATTGAAGGCGCACAAGTCAAACGTTGTCATTTATTATCTAAAACTTTGCTTTCCAATGGAGTGCACCAGCCACCTGGAACACTTCAACTCTGGCTAGTCCATATCCAAATGTGCTGGAAGTATAAAACACACACTGGAGTTTGAACACTGAGTTCCAAAAAAATAAAGTGCAACAGATCATTAATTTCTTATAATGATTGTATGCTGAAGTTGAAATATTTTGGATATAAAGAGGTAGTAAAATATAGTATTAGTAGTAATTTCCCTAGCTTCTTTGTACTTTTGTCACTGTGCCTAGCAGATCATATTAAATTACCTATTGGCTGACATGGTGCTTCTATCAGATGGCAGTGTTATAACACCCTTTGTCTACCAGTGTGCTTATTCCTTTTTGTTACCCTTCAGAACTTTGTCATGTAAATTAAAATAAAATATTCATAGAAACCAACAAGACCTCTTTGCTGAAGACATGCTATATTTTTTTAAAAAAATGTGTGTCATGAAGAATTGCCGGCTTCCTCTCTCCAGGCTAAGTAAACAGTAGGCTACAGAACTGCATACACAGTCATAGAATATGAAAAAGCCAAACTGTCCTGCTTTCCACTAATGGTACAGCAGTCTGACCTCTGTTATTACAGCTGCATTTTCAAAACCACAGTTCAGAAAGTTGCTGTCGTCTTGCGCGGTGCCATGTCAGTAGACTAAGCTGTCACCAAGCAGTGACACTGATGGGCTTCTACACTTCAATAATAGCTCATCGATCCCATCAATAACCTCAACCTGATTTCCAGTGAAGGCAGCCATGACAAAGGGAAGCAATGATGAGAAAAGTATGGTAAGTTTCCTTGACCTCATAAAAATATATACACATGAGTTAATGGAAATACATCTCCCCATTTTTTGCATCTATTTATTTGGACATAATGTCAGTAAAATTTGCAAAAGTATCACGACGGACTCTCATAAGCCCTTTACCTAGATTCCCCTGTTGACACTGTATCGCATTTGCTTTATTGTTTTCCCTCTGCACACATGTACAGCTTCTGTGTACGTATGTGTATAGCAACTTTAAAAGCATTTTGATGTGCTGCAGAAATGATATCCATTATCCCTAGATATTTTAGCATGTTTTTCTAAAAACAATGACATTCTTCTACATCACAGTTATCAAAATCAACAAATATTAATACATTATGCCATCTTATCCACACGTTTGAAGTTTTCCAGTTGTTCAAGTAATGTCCTTTATAGTAAGGAAAAATATATCTGTTCCAAGATTCAATTTGGGTCAAGTATTGCATTTGATCCCCATGTCTATTTGTTCAAATTTATGATGGAATGGCTTTTTCTTATTTATTCTTTGCATACCTTTCATGACTCTGTGATATCTGAAGGGTAGAGGCCACTTTTTTGTGGGATGTCCCCCAGTGGCTCTGATGGTTCCTCATAAGAAGGTTGTTAGTTATAATTTTTGTTATGTTTTTTGGCTGAAATATCAAGGACATTTTGCTGTACTCTCCGTGCATCAAATCACTGGACTCTGTCCCATTGCTGCTGAAGTTACCCTTGACCTTTGACTATTTGATTATGGGCTATTTGCTAGGTTTCTTTACTAACAAGTTGTAAGTTTTCCTGTTGTAATGAATACGTATTATATAGGCAAGTTATATGTCAATAGGTAATTATGAGTCACGGTAAATTCATAATTTTACCACTGAATCAGCTCAAAGAAAGACTCCAGTTATATACTAAATTGCAGTGGAAAGATAATTTATTGTCAATTGTGATAAAACTATTACAATGGAGATTTATTATTTATTATTATCACTTAAACATCAAAAACAATAACAAATTATTGATAAATTTCCATGTTTTATCTCTTTTAAGACTGTATGTTAATAAATATCCTGGTTGTCATCAAACTTTGACCCATAAATTTTAGCATCCATTGATCACTTTTGTCTGAATCAATTTTTAGTATAATGGTTGCCAAATCTTCTAACTAAATTATTCTTGCAATACTTATTAGTTGGCATTTTACAGAAAGAAATAGCAGTCCCTTCTGCCATATTTATCCATTCATTTATGTTTCATGTTGGTATCTACTCATGGATTCTTATGTTATTCAATGTGTTATAATTAGCTACCAGTATTATCTATTTTAACCATCAAATTGTCCCAGATTTCTTTGGTGCGTCCACTTCAAGCTGGCTGCTAGTTTCTTGTGACACACCCTCATCATTCTTTTAATATTTTCCTTAATTTGTGAAACAACAAGCTCTTCCAGTCTTATCTGCGTTTTCCCTGCCCAACTCTTGATTAAGTCTCTTCTCAAAAACTCCTTCATTTGTTTTCATGGAGAACTAAGTTTAGAAACAGAGTAATGTGTGTCAAGTATGTCATTGCTACCGAGACAGCATTTCTAAACCCTCTCAGCTGACAGAGCTAGCAAACTTGGAAACGAATGTGTATATGTCAATATGTGTTTGTGCACACACAGATCTACACAGCTCATTTTTTAACACGTGATATGCCAGAGAGTATATATGCCATGAGAAACAAAATGAGTATAACATGTAGTTTCTATGTACCAGAAGATATACTTTTTATAAAAGACTATCTAAAACAATATTTAATATGGCATTTTCATCAAATTATTGATCATTCTTTTTTTAATTGGCAAGAATTTTATATATTGATGGTGTATAACATGACTTTGACATATGCATACATTGTGGAATGGCTAAATCAAGCTAATTAACATGCAGGTATCTCACATACTTTACTTATATATTTATTTATTTATTTATTTATTTGGGGAGTGAGCAGATTTGAAATGTACTCTCTCAGTAATTTTCAAGCATATAGTACATTGTTATTAGCTATAGTCACTGTGTCATACAATGGATCTCTTTAACTTATTCCTTTCTCTAACTGGAACTATTTGTCCTTAGACCAACATCTCCCTAAGACCTTCCCTGACCTTCTGGGCCCCTGGAAACCCTGAGTACACTCTCTGCTCCTAAGAGTTTGTCTTCTGTGGATGTTACATCTATGTGAGATCTTGCAGTATTTGTCTTTCTGTGCCTGGCTTATTTCACTAAAGATAATGTCTTCAAATTGCTGATCATTCTGATTCCTTAAAAATAAATTCATAATTTTACCACTCAATTAGCTCAATTAAAGACTCCAGTTATATACTAAATTGCAGTGGAAAGACATTATTGTCAACTGTGATAAAACTATTACAATGGAGATTTATTATTTATTATCACTTTTAAAAATAAAAAATATTTTAAAATTTCTCATAAATTGCTATGTTTTATCTCTTGAATGTCTTACTTATTTTTCACCATGCTAATATGGAACTGGTAGCGACTTGTGGCCATTTCACAGATGAGGAACCAATAATTATCAGAAGTCATGAAACTAGATCACAAGTCATGTCAATGTGTCTTCCAAGCCCTTGCTTTTTATCAGTATTAACTTTGACTGTGAAATTGGCTGATATTAAGACCCTGCTGAATAAAATATAGATCTAATATTAAAACCTAGCTCTGAAGTTCCCCGAATGTTTGCAAGTAGCAGCATTAAAGAGAGAATAAAATAACATAAAATCCTCCCCAGTCACCTCTTAGAGCTCTAGTACAAGAGAGTGAGACTAAAATTGGTTGATGAACTTTTTCCAAATTCTACACAGGACCAAGATTCTGGCATAGTCCATAGAGAGTTTCAGAATCTTGGTGAAGAAAGTGTTTGTGTCTTAAATCTCTCATTTTCTAGGAGACCCTTTTTAAAGTCTAGAGGGAAGACTGGGCTTTTGTGGCTCAGATCTGCTACTAAAATAAATATTTCATTCAAGCACAAGATCTCAGGCCCATTGTCCAAACTGCAACAATACAAGTAGGTAAATTACATTTTGATCTATTACCTTTTATTCTTTGCTATAGGTAGCTTTTAACCCATGTAGTCATATTTATGTTAAAATAATTATAAAGAGAAAACAAAGCCGTTTTACAATAATATAATGCCTGAATGCATCAAACTGAATAACTGAAGATTGCTGTAACTGTGGGAAAAGGAATGTGCCCAGGCTTTGAGGTAATGTTCCTTGAATGGTCTCTCATCTAAGGAAGAATAAATCAACATCACATCCATGGAACAAAGAGGGCCACCTTTCAGGAGGAGGAGGCTAATTGGGAATTAAGGGAGGTGATGACTCTTAACAAGTAGGGCAGCCTTAGTCCTGCGGCCTGACCAGCTGAGGAAATGAGCCCCTGCTCAGCCTGGATTAACACCTTTACATGCATCTTTCTTCATCCCCTCAAACAGTGAGTTAATTGGGATGGAAAATGAAAGCTTGAGAAAAATAAATTGCACCTACCTGGATAAGGGACAGATCCTCAAGCTGTAACCTGAAGAGGTAGTTTCTACAAAATACAAAAAGAGAGCAGTTTTATTTTCAATAGATTCCAAAAAGTTAGAGTTTATAAAAATTTCAAGAACAAAGAAAATAAAATAATGACTGTGGCTTCCAAAGCATCTTCCTTCTAAGGATATGTTTAGCACAGATTTCCTTGGAACTTAGCGTACAAAGAGGCATTCAAGATGTCAAGAAATACACCTGTGAGATTGGTGAGAAAGCTAACAAATAAGTGGGGTGCATGTGTACATGACTGTGGTAAGTGTAAGGCATTAAGCTGTTCTCTTGCTCTATATGGAATAAATAAAAAGACACGGGCATTCCAGTCTGAAACTGAGTTTCACTTAAGCAAGATGATGTAAAACTAACTATTCCTCATAGGTCTTTGTTTTTCATCATCACCTAAATTAAGAGTTTGAATTCAAACAATGGTCTAAGGTTCACAGTTCTCTACCCTGTTGGATGGATTCAGCATGTAATAAAAGTTTAGAAATATGAACTTGGGCCGGGCATGGTGGCTCACATGTGTAATCCCAGCACTTTGGGAGGCTGAGGCAGGGGGATGATTTGATCCTGGGAGGCGGAGGTTCCCAGGCTCCGGGGAACCATGGCAAAACCTGAGTGCAACAAATGCAAAATTTATCCAGGCATAGTGGCATATGCCTACAGTCCCAGCTATTCAGGAGGCTGAGGCAGGAGGATTCCTTGATCCTAGGAGGTGGAAGTTGCAGTAAGCTGTGATTGCACCACTGCACTCCAGCTGGGGTGACAGGGTGAGACCCTGTCTCAAAAATAAATAAATAAATAATAAATAAATAAAATTTGCAGTGTATGTGAGTTGGTTTAAAAAAAAAAAAGAAAAAGGAATATGAATGTGGCAGTGTGCCCAAAGGAAACTGATGACATCAAGGGCTTCAAAGAGTCAGTTTCACTCCCCAAGTGTAAAACAGGAAATCAAAGAAAAGAAAACTATCATCAATTTCAACAACGAAGGGGAATAACAGTGAAATACACAATGGAGATCAGCAGAGCACAGGGAAAAAAGATATATATTAGTTACACCAGGCTTTGGAATCTAGTGTTGTAGGTTTCAAAAACAACTCATAACCTCCCTCAGTATGCTTTGCTTCAACCTCTAACTGAAACCCTGGCATCATGTAAATGGGAAGATGGGGGCTGGGAGTGTGTACCAGCAGCACCCCAAAGAGGAAGGGAGGAGAAAGCCAGTCTAAGTGCACATAATAATGGCAAGTAGATGTTGGCATATAATGGAAAGCAAACTCTAAGATGCAAATGAGCATGAGGCAAAATCTCCAAGAAGCCAAGGATATTATTTTAATGAGTTCGTCCAAGGTCATTTCTATGGCACAAAGAGAGAAATTTTACGACACCAGTAAGATATAAATGATTATTTTTACTATCGTGAAGGGGCTGGACACATGTCCCAGTAGCAGTGACAAGTGACAGCCAAAGCAACCCAAGGGCATAACGTTGAGATGACCAAGAAACATCCGTATGGTTATGGACAGAGTTAGGAAGGACAAAGCCTCCAAGGAAGCTGACGTCCAGGAGCTCATGTACACCCACAGCTGCAGGATGAAGTGGGGACTAGTCTCACCTTCAGGTAGTCTCACGAATCCAGGCATTGCCTCCTGGGCATTCAGGTTTCACACAATATGACTACCAACATGGAGGTACCGCATCTCTCAACTGAGTGAAAACTGCCTCCCACAAACCACAGCAACTGTCTCTTCACTCCATTCCTTCCACCTTTCTAGTCTCCTTTCTGATATACCCTGAGAGAAGCTCCCCGGAGCACTGATTGGCACATGCCACCTCCATCACAAAGCCATTTCAGGAAAAGCTCCCCTGTTCTTTATTAAAATGCTACAGTCTTTTTTTTCAGAATCCGGTTAAGGATACCTTTGAGGGGAGGGAAAATTACAGAAAATCTTTTGATTCAGTCGGTGCCATGAGAAGTCTAGCTATCCAACAGAAATGTCAGCTGCAGGCCAGGCACACTGGCCTGTAATCCCAGCACTGTGGAGGCTAAGGTGGGCTAATCACTTGAGCCCAGGAGTTCTACACAGGCCTAGGCAACACAGGGAGACCCCATCTCTACAAAAAAAGAAAAAATACAAAGATTAGCCAACTGTAGTCATGCCTGCTTGTAGTCCCAGCTACTGAGGAGGCTGAAGTGGAAGGATCAATTGAGCCTGGGAGGTCAAGGCTCCAGTGAGCCATGATCCTGCCACCGAACTCCTTCCTGGGCAAGAGAGAGAGATCCTGTCCCAACAACAGAAAGTCATTTTCAGAGAAACAAAAGTGAACTTGGTGCATATATGGAAGAGTATGTTGAAGCAGCCCAAAGGTGCCACTGGAGGCTGACTGGCATTTCAGCATTTGCCAAGCTGTCACCCAATGTGACACAGAAATGAGCACACCTCCTCTATGGGAAGTGAGAAATCTACACACACACACACACACACACACACATGTCTTTCAGAAGAGGGACTTACCAGTGTGATACAGTTTGGCTGTGTCCCCACCTAAATCTCATCTTAAATTTTAATCCCCATGACTCCCATGTGTCCAGGGAGGGGCCTGGTAGGAGGTGAGTGGATCATGGGAGCAGGTTGCTTCATGTTGTTCTCATGATAGTGAGTGAGTTTCATGAGGTGTGATGGTTTTATAACCATCAGCATTTCCCTGCTTGTATTTTTCTCTCCTGGCACCATGTGAGAAGGCCCAAGCATGCTTCCCCTTCACCTTCAAGCATGCTTCCCCTTCACCTTCTACCAGGATTACTAGTTTCCTGAGGCCTCCCCCGCCATGTAGAACTGTGAATCAATTAAACTTATTTTCTTTCTAAATTACCCAGTTTCAGGTATTTCTTTATATTAGTGTGAGAACAGAGTAGGACACAGTAGCAACAGGGAAATTACTGGCCTCTGCACACCCATCGCCTCTATGAGCAGCTCAGCTCCCCACTCTCATATTTTCCCATGGACTTTCTGGTTTCAGGAGGCTGCCCCTCTGCTATGGGTGGTAGTATTGCCTGGTGGTTAAGAATATCCATGCAAAAGCTAGAGTTCTGCCTCTATGCAATCTCAGGAAGTAAGCAAAATTTCTCTATGCCTTAGTCTTTTCATCTGTAAAATGCAGCTAATAATCAAACCTATCCTCTAGGGTTGTTGTGAGGTTTAAATCTAAGAAAAACATTAAGAATGAAGTCTGACCCATTGTAAGCATCAATTAATAGTGCCAACTTTTATGTTTATTTTGTCACTGGTCCTGGAATCCAGTTGTCCTATTCAACCCACTGGCAATTTTAAGAAAGACTTCTTCAGTAAATATTTCCAATAAAAGAAACTCATTCATATAGCAAATGAATTACCTAGGCGCTTTGGTTCATTCTCTCTGTCTCTCTTGCATACTCACACACATACATGTGCAGATGTATGTTCACACTATAGTATGTGTCTCCAGGAACTTTCTTGAAAAGAACCTCTCATACACAAAGGAAGAGCTGGAAGTGCCCTCAGGCTCTTTGAGAAAAGATGATAGCAGAGTCTGCAGTGCTCTGTAGAGCTCTGTGCAGGTCAGCTAAAGAGCTCTCTCTACTTGCGGAGGGGACTGGAAGGGGCACAGAGATCATTATCCGAAACACCTGGTTCCAGCTTTCAGGTGTTTTTCAATAGGAGGGGATATTGGCTTATAATAACAAATATGCCACATTCTCAGTCCACATCTCCCTAAGCAAACATGACTCTTCTGATCATTACTTTCCTGCTTCTCAAGTTCCAACAGGTTGTAAAGGTACCCCTCCTCTCCAGGAACATTGCTAGTGGATTTCAACCATCTATACCTCTTCTCCTTCCAAATACCTGAGCACTATAGTGTCCTTCCAATTATCTCATCAGTAATATCAAATCAGTATGGCAGAGGTGTTCAGTAGGTGAAAGAAAGGGGCAGAGAGGAAAGAGGGGCACATTTACTAGGAAAAATACCACAGTTACAATGAAATATCATCACCACCACCACCACCATAACCACAACCCCAGGAAGGAAAGCACCGGAGGATTTAAACTTTTCTTTTTGTATTATTTTCAGAGTTCAAAGATAACAATTGATTATTTTAACCCACTCTCAATTTTACAGATAATTATTTTATAGGTGATTATTTTAACCGCCCTAAATTTATAGATGAGGAAACTTCTATAAATTAAAAAGTACTGGGTGATTTGTCCAAGATTGTAAGGCTTCAAAGAAAATCCTGGGACTGGAAACAAGACCCCTGGTCCTGGTGTCCCTTGTGTCCCATTGTGCCTCATGGCCTCACCAGTTAGTCATTCAATGTCCCCTTCCTGGTTTCACCTGCACTAAACATGCACACACACAGAAACATAGGCAGTAACAGTTCTTATGCTGCAAGTGTTTCATATCTTCATTGGTCATTGACAGGAACATTTCAAAATCATTTTAAGAAAATTCAAGTCTTAGTTCTGCTAATAGCAAACTTTTGATCTACGCCATCAATTTTCATCTCTGGGACTGTGATCTGGCTGTGATCATGGCTCCTCATGGCTTCTCCCCATGAGGAGAAGAGTCTGAGCTGAGGGGTCTGGCTGTTCAAATGGCACCTCTTTTCTCCCTTTTTATTCTGCCTGAATAACTTACTGCCTGTATCTGATTCTAAGAATAGCCCTATTTCTTAACTTATGAAAAGAAAGAAATGATACAATTATGCCAATATATTTAAATAATAAAAATTCCCAAAAGACTGTAATGATGTTTAGATATACACAATGCCTAACAAAGTTCTATGAATAAACCGCCATCTACCAAAAAATCTTTTTATTATGGAAAATTTAAATAATTTCCTGAGAAGGATATTTCATGTGTTATTTTTCAAAACTCAGTAACTTATTTCAAAATTATCTTAAATGAAACCTCAACATACAAAATAGATACAATACTTCTTTAATAGTATAATTCATTTAACAA